GCACACACACATGCACACACACACATACACACACTGGGGTTGTCGCAATATTCGTTTTGCAAAAACACATAAAGTGAATCCACCGAAAATGTACAGAATTTTGCATAAACGTGAGTACACTTGTTTGGTTTGCTGAGGACGAGATGTTGCATAATAAGAGTGTACTTGTTTGCTTCGTCGGGAGTAAGAAGGCCAACGGAAGCCATTTTTCCTAAATTTCTTATCATCTCCGCCATTGGCATACCAACAAGCAAAGCCTCCCATATAAGCTTGTCATCAAGCAGGTGAGTCGGAATATGCTCACGTACGAAGCCTAAAAAAACATCAAAGCTCAATGTTAACGAAAGTATCACAAAAATAAGGCTCTTACGTGGTGGAGAAATCATCTGATTTGGTGGCGTAAGAACGGAAGGGAATGTTTCGGTCGAGTTAGACACCACGTAAACTTTCAAAGTATTTCTCTGGACTCTTTTTCATACCTAGTACCATATGAATGGCAGCGTATGGAGTGTGAAACAACATAGCAGCGCGCTTACGGTAATTACAAAGTTTTTGATAGTTTAAAAAAATCTTATGAAAACAAACACTGAAAACTTGTAAGTGAAAATTCCACCAATTCATCTTCTTTTTTTGTCTTTGAAACACTGAGCTTCAGAATCCAGCAGTTTGGGTTTTGTCAACTACTTACTAAAACTTGATGTGCTCAAAGGCAAACTGCACGCAAAACCAAAGGATGAAAGCACAAACTGCCGTCCTTCATTTGCCTCTTTTCTCCAAGGATCAGTATATCAATTTAGATCTCCCGACACCAATGCGATGGAAGCAAACGCTTGCGTAGCTAGGCCTGAGGAGTAACAGTAAGCAGAAATAAGCTCACCGTGCTGAAGGATAAGGTCAGCAGCTTCTGAAACATCAGTTTTTTCCAATTTCTTCAATTTCCCATAAGCTTCAAGAAATTTGAGAACTTTCGATGTCTCGGCAGTCGGAGCATTTTTACTTTTCATTGATTCAATGACTGCTTTCTGGCTTTCCTTTAACTTTAGCTTTGCCAAACTTTTTGTCACTTCCTTTGTTTGTTCTTGGTTAATCGGCACATCTTCTTTTTCCATTTTCGCCTTCT